CATAATGTGCAAGTTAGATTGCTACGACACATTCTTTTCTTTGCCTTTCCTGCAAATACACTTCATCCATCCCCCCTCGCAGATAGATCCGAGTCTGTTATCTGGATTTGAGAGTCAGCTGCTGGTGCTGCATATGTCACTCCATTACTTGGCAACTGCCTCAAATATATCAATGCCTTGCCTGCAAAATATATCTCCTTTCTCACAACGCATGTATCTTGCACCTGCTGATGTAATGATGTGGCTTATTACAGCATATTTCATCCCCCAAAGCACTATGAACTGCATACCGGTCGCAGGGGCCCCTTTTCCCACTGCTGATACAGGGATGCTTTGGGGTGCAAACACCAGCTGCTGAACACCACGCGCAGGGGGGCACGAGGTGGGAAGAGCATGGAAAGCCATCTCCATATGAAACCGTGGAGCCGCTCAGGGCAGCAGAGTGGAATTGGTCATTTTGAGACAATCCTTTAACAACCGTAAGCGACTGGCCGCTTGGTTTGAATTTCTCTTTGGAAAGGGGGAGCTCCCAGCAGCAGGGCATCTCCTGGGGTGGTTGTGTCAGTACATGCTTGGGAAGAGCATTGCTCTAATTAAATTGCTAGGAATGCTTCGCGCCTGTCCAGGGTTTTCCTTGGGATATAAATCACCTTCAGTCTTGTCTTTTGGATCTGAACAAGATAACTCTGCGTAAGTCTCCAATCGAAGCACTGCCTGTTCTCCCTGCTGAGCTGCAAAGAGCTTTTCCTAGCCTACAGTTTTCTGACTCTAAACCAGTTCTGTTGCTGAGTCCTGCCTTTTTTTCAACAAGTTATTTTAAAAATGTGAAGCAGAATGGTAGGCGCTAATATCTTCAGACTTTCGGTGAGCATAGATCTATGTCCAAGCCCTTCTACTAGTCCCAGGTTTTAGAGTCAACTAAATCATTCCTCTGAACTAAACAGCCTCAGCCAGTTGAAAGATTTCTGTTATTTTGTGCCTGAGGTGAATCTTGATCGGGAAATTATCATTTGGAACCAGAACTTGGTAGTGTAATGGCCTAAACAGGGCGAGACTGGCTTTGAAATTCTCCTGATGGCTATATTCCCCTTGCAACGGGTGCTGATCTTCCCTCTGGCTCTGAAGGTAATTTCTCCATGTTTCCATTTCCATATAGATAAGAAAACTTCAATTCTGAATATGTGTATGTGTGTACATATATACATATATATGGGTATAAATGTATATTTATGTTAAAGCATTTCAAACAAGACTTCGAACTCCATGCAGTTTGGCTGTGCTCTCTTCTCCCATCTTTTTCGTAGAGTACAAGGTGGGAAGAAACCTTGACATAGTCTGACTGTTCCCATAATGATGTAAGCGCAGCTGTGCTTAAATCATTCTTGATACAGATGTTCATCTAATCTGTCCTTAAATATATTTAATAATGAGGAGCTGTGCTCATCCTGGGCAGCCTGTTTTGGTGCTTGCCTGGCCGGGCTGTGAGAAAATGTGTACGATTCTCGCACATCCACCTGTCACAACGGTCTGTTGGAAAATTCATTTTAATGAGAATTATTCAAATAATTTTACATAAACAGGAGCTTTTTTAGAGATGAAATGTGTTGGATTACAGGTAAAATACGCTAAATTTTCGGTTCATCTGTGTGGCTAAAATCCCTGCTTGCCAAGCATAGGCCCAGCAGCATTCATTTGCTGCTTTTTTTAAGTTCACATTTGTCATTCGGCGTGAAGCCAAAGGTTTGAAATTTTCTTGAAATCACCTTTCGCCAGTCATTGTGTTCGTGTTCGCTCTGCAGTAAACCAACAAATCATTTGCATGGCAAAGGACACCAAACAGCTCGGTGGATCCTTGCAGCTGGAGGAGATGTTCAGATACGTTAAACAACAGCTCGGTCCAAGTGGAAGGTGATAGCGGTGGTCCTTTAGCAAGGGATGGTTGCTGGAGGCCTGCTGCAGCATCTGGTTTTGGGGAGATGCTGCCTTTTGGTAAGTGGTCAGCCCTGGGAAAAACATACCATAGCATGTACACTGAATAAAATTGTCCAGGGTTCAGGGGGAATACTGATTTTTCCTCTAGACTCTAGTAGTTAAGCTCACTTATAAAATTTGTATTTTTTTTTTTATTTTCCCCCAAGAAAGTGATCTCTTATCATCTAATCCCTTTGCTACTCCTTTTGGTTTCCTTTGCAAGAGCACGAGGAGGGTTTGAGGGCACAGCAAGAGCAAAGGAAGCTGAAAAAGCCAGTTGTATTTGGTAGTCCCTAGACAACTTCCATAGCCCCATGGTTGCATGTGACATAGGTGTAACCTACAGTCGGAGGAACTTGGGTTAATTATTCAAATAAACAAAAGCTCTGAGCAAAGACTGGGTAAAAATTATGTAAAAACTGCTGCAGGGAGAAAAGAGAAAATCCAAGGTCTCAGGTTCTACCAAAGCTGCAAAGGAAAATTGGTGCCTGTTAGTCTGCCAATTACCCTTAGTGTTAATGAGTCCGCCCTTTAATAGTCTGTATTTGCAGCGATCAGCAGGACAACACTAAAAACTTCAGCAGTTTTCCATAATTTCTAGCATTACCTATGACATTTTGCCCTTTGGTATCTATTCTGGTTTCTCATAAAATACCCCTAAAAGCCTATCTGTTGTATCCTCTCCTGCCACCTTCATGGCGAGGTCCCGCCGAGGCGATAGCTGCAGTGTAACACACGGCACGTATCGGGCCGTTTACCTCATGGCTTTTGCTTTTTTTTTCTTCCCAAGTCAGAAATTCCTTGTTAGCCTTCAAATCTCTAACTGAAGTGAGGCCAGAAGCGCACGTCCCTAGGAGGGCTGTTTGTGCTGGAACATCCATGGTGCTTGGCTTAATAAGAGCTGTACTTATCAAAGACATCTACTTTAATTTTCTCGTTATGCTTCCCTTATTTTTCAGTACCATTTCAGTATTATCTATTTCTTCTTGAGGGCTTTGTGTTCTTCTTTCCTATAGGAATGTGCTTTTCGTACTCTGTAACTCATGCGGCAGGATGACCTAAACAAATACGGAAGGATGCAGCTAAAAAAACCCCTTACTTTCCCGGAAATCTTTCCTAAACTATTTCCTCTGGTTCTTTTTCCTCCTCCATCCCCAGTGTTAAGGCTCAGGACCCCTGTTTCTCAGAAACGCCTTTCAATTTCAGATACTCTTCCCTCTTCCCTCGCTTTCTTAACGAAAGAGGTTTCCTCGGCTAAGGTTTGTGTCGGTAGGGTTAACGTTGTCCTTCGTCTAGGCTGACATGTAGCAAACTGCTTTTCCAACAGGCCTGGTTGGCTGGGTGCTTTATAAATGATGGCTGAGTATCGCATTGTATTGTATTTTACCAAAGGTTTTCTCTATCCTAGAAAACTCCTGTCTCCGTATGAAATATACTGGTGGTTTAAGGAGAGAATAATATATTTACTAAAACTGTACTCAGTCAAGGAATAATTTTGCTGTAGAGATTAAATTTTTATATCATCTTGAAGAAAACCACCTCTTTGTCAGTCCCCGGGGGATCTGGTGTCTGGCTGTTTCAGCAGGAGCGTCTCAGATCTTAGCAGCTCTAAGTGGTGGTTTTTTTTCCTTCTGTTCCTGCAATGTGAGAGCAATACACTCCTTTTGTCCCAAGGTTCAGATGTTTTAGGAGATTCTGAAAAAAAAATCCTGTTTTCATTTCTAAATAACTTGTCGGGTGAATGTGGCTTAAGGATGAGCGAAGCTCAGAACTGTTCAGAGCTCTGATCTACACTGAACATCTAATCTTGATGCAGCCCATTACCATCTCATGAGCTTGCAAAATTCACTAGGGAGTGAATTCACTCCAAAGATCAAGCTTTTTTTCTGAGGGATTAGTGCTGTTCATCGCTATAGATAGGCTGGAGCAGGCATCAGGAAAGACTTTTTGGCGGTGGTTCACTCTGCTTTAGTGCCTGCCCAGAATGATAAAGGATTTGGTCTGTGACTTGGGAACGGTTCCCACTCCTTACTTTTTAGCCCAGTTCTTCAAGGCAATAAGCTGATGGGATCATGCTCTTGCTCTTTCTTGTTTGTTGTGTCCCTGTGTGAAACTTCTGGCCCTTCCGGGCCAATTTCAAGCAGGTTTGGCGAAGGGCTGGAGGTTTTCAAAGTGTGAAGGTGCTACAAGCATGTGCTAGTATGGGGCCACAGCAGGAAGCTGTGCTGGAACCAGCCCTGGATGGTCGTGTGTGGGCAACGAGGGGCTTCAGAGGCCACGTCCCCTTTCTGCTGCTGCATCACTTAATCATTTGTTGGCAGCGTTATGCCGTTGGAACACGGTAAGAGAAATCACTTGTCCTTTGAGACCCAAACGGCATTTCGATGCAGGCTGTGAAGGGCAAACAGAATATGGAAGAAGGTGTATGTGCTACCTCCAGAAACCTGCAGCCTGTAGCTCTCGGCTCCTGACGTGGGCCGGGGCCCTGCTGCGGTGACAGTGGTGTGAGCAGGGATGGAAAAAGGCAATTCGGAAATCGGGTGGGAGGAGGGGGCGCAGAGCGCTCCCACAGTTGCCCATGCAGTCCTCTCCAGAAGATGGGCTGCTGGGCTCGTGCTCCCTTCGGCTTGGGAAACGTGTGGGTGTATGTGCACCCGAACGTGGGTTAGCGCGAAGCCCAGGGAGTTCCCGGCTGAGAAGGAGCTTTCCCTGGGTTCCTGCCCCGGTGAATGAACCACACGGGCTGGACTGAGGATAATTTCTGCAGTTACAGGAAAACCTTGCAGAACTGTGCCCTTCTTTGTGCAGCCCTAAAATGGGGCTAATAAAAGTGAATGAATTAACTAATGGATTGGCTGGTTCTGCTGTAACCATTTGTTTTCAGCCCTGCCTCTCCTGAGACATCTTTTTAGCCAGTGGGAAGCAAATTTCTTCCTCTTCTGTTTGGACACGAATTATCATTCTTGCCAAATGCTACTTGAGTCTTGCTTCGAAGTACCGTACACCAAAGTGACATCCCAGCTGCACGGATGAACCCTCCTGACAGCCTGGGCTGGAGGATGAAATGTTTCATCGGCACAGAGACAGGCATGGAGATCCTCCCTGTCACATCGCACCTGGGAATATTCATCTTTGTGACTATCCCTGCGGGTGCGTTTCCTATCCTGGGTGGCATTGAAGGAGGATGATGGTCTCACAGTGGTGGCCTGCCCAACACATACGAATCGATCACCTTAATTGATCCCTTTGGTGAAATGACACGGATTTATCTGTACTTACGGAGACAGGGTTTAAAGAGGTAAAAGGACTGAAAAGTTCACATGCAAAAATGAGGGAATATACTTAGTGAGGAGAGAGGAATGTATGCTGGCGTGTGTGTGTCTGGTTGTCACGATTATGGTCTTGGAATAAAGCAGTTAATGGCATTATAGGCTCGTCAGTCAAAGCTGCTGAATATAAAATCACGTCATGGCATTTCTCTGGTGCCTCTGCAGTCAACAGAGGGGCTCCATTTCGCCAAGACCTTCATTTTGCCTTCTCACAGCGGAGCCTGCTACATTGCGACAGCTGAGGGCATGGGGGCACAGATGGGTCTATGCTGGCTCTGCCCACGTCTTGACTGTATTTTGGGAGAGATGGAGTGTGCACCATCCCCTTGTGCGTCTTTATTCTGTAATAAACCCACAGATGGGCGAGTAAGGAAGGTGTCCTTGTGCTCCCCAGCAGCTCCCGCCCTGCTCTCCCCAGCCTGCATCGCTGGTCGATGAGGATTGAAGGTTTGACAGTAGAGTCCACCCAGCCTGCAGTTTGGGTGCAGCCAGCTGAATTCCTTGGCAAAGATATCCTTGCTCCAGGCATCTCCGACTGCTGCCAACACCAGCTCAGGTCCACCAGGCTGAGCAACATGGAAGAGGCTGGTGTAGCTACTTCCTGTGGTGGTTGGTATTTTGAACACTGAGAGAACACTAGATTCCTCGCCTCTAATTTCAGATACTTTACCGAGATGCTGTAGTTGGGAGCCCAAATACCTTAGTCAAGACAGAGATAAGCACCTCTGGGGACTGATTCGGATCTCGTGGTGAATGAGTTAGCCTTGGAGGGATGAGTCTTTCCCTGTTGACTTCAAGTGCGGAGCTCTGGGAGAAATGCTGCCTTGGGTGTCTGAGTTAAACAATTATAATCTGCTGATAATAACCTGAAGTTGAGTTTTTTAAAACCTGCTTTAAACAGAGCAAGGTGCTGTGATGTTAGTGATTCTGATGGGGACCTGGGGTTCCCACTGCCCAGCACCAAGGTCCTCTGGCGACGGAGCCTCTGCCAGCCCTAACCCAGCTCTGAAAGTTCCCACTTCAGCCCTTCTTACAGATGTGTAGATTCAAAGCACCGACAGCAAAAGCATTGAGGAAGTGAGAAATGTGTTAAAACGAATGAAGAAAAGCAAAACCAAGCTTTAAAAGCAAACTGGTAGATCCTGAGGACACCTACAGTAGAAGGATGAGTATACTAGGTGCCGTGGAAGGGCTTCCTAGCTCCGTATTACAGCCTGTCTGACCACGAACCAGCATTGATACAGTAAGACAATTTCGTATGGATTTTGGTGGAAACATTTCATGGGAAAGGTGAAGAAGAAGGAATTAAAACGATAAACTGAATTTCTCTTAGAATGTGTCTGTTATAATGGTAAAACCCTCAGCTGATGAACTGAGGAAGCTGTTTTGTCTTTTTGGTGTAACAAGAAGCAAGATATGATGTAGGGTACCCTGAGGAAATTTATGTATCTACAGGTGCACTGGTCTTGAGTAGAAAAGATCTGATTTTCATAAAGAGACATTTTGAGAAGAATTATCTCTTCATACTGTTTGAATTCCGTTGGAGTCTGTGTCTGAAACGAAATTGGTATCTCTTGTCTTCACAAGCAAGCTGAACCTTGTCCCTCCAGCCGTTTGGGGTTAGGAGGTCCGCAGGGTGAAGTTTCACCTTTCCCAGCTTTCTTGACTTACTCCTCCGGCTGTTACTGAGCCTGGAGATGGAAAAAGGCAGCCTGGGTATCTAATCCATCCCCACATCACAGCAGCTGCTCCTTGCAGTTGATTTGTTATTATTGTCCTCGGATAAAATCTAATCAAGCCCAGTGCAGTCAGAGGGACTCCATCAACCCTCAGAGGCTTCCTAGCAGGGAAGGCTGTTTAGAAGTTCCTTGTCAGAAGGAATAATAATAATAATAATTTCTATTCAAGTGCTTCAAACTGTGATTTACATTTAAAGGTGATTTTCTTACTGCCTCCCAATACTACTTTTTGAGGAAAAAAGTGTTTAAATCTGTGTCTTGTAAATGGGGAGGCAGAGTGTTTTGTCCAGGGCAAAGGAAATCCATGGTAGGTCTGGGAGCTGGACCATACCCTTGGATCATGAAGCCCTGTGCATGGCTTATTAGGTGCACAGGTTATTGTCCCTTCCTAAGCGTCAGTGGTGACGACAGTCTGTTCTGCTCTCAGAGTCAGGGCTCTGCAATTAAAACAAAGGGGAATATACCCTGGTGTCTTTATTAAAAAAAAAAATTAAAAAAAATCAATAATCCATCAAAAAATAATCCATCAAATTTTTTTTTGTTCCTGCTG